AGGTGGAACAATGTTTTGTATAGTATGTTATGCCAATTGAGCTTGATGTCCCCTGTGACTATGGTCCCAAGCCCACAGGATCAACTACTTGGTCCCTCTGGGTAGCTGGCTGTGACCAAACAGTGACCACAACCTTGCCCCTTGTCAGCTCTACCAATGAGTGCTTTTTAAAAGGCCAAATAAATATATGATAGTTGAACTAAGGAGGTAGAGAAAGCAGACTTTGACTTCATAAAAATTATTGTAGTTAAGAAAAAAGAAATATGTATTTTGAGAGAGTCTTCATTTCCATGTAGTCTGGATTCTAAAGAAGGTCTGTAATCTGAAAGCAGACAGTGTTCCAGGGACTATCTGGATGGGTCGCAGAACCATTTGGTGGCTTGTAGAAGGTGCTTTATTAGGCACTCTATACAAAGTGCTCAGAGTCTACAAAATAGCTAAGATTGAAAATTATTTACATGTATTGGCCTTCCCAATATAAGACATTTTAGATAAAAATGAATACATGTCTAAATAAATGTCTCTAAAAATTAATATCTTAACAACTTCATTGTCAAAATTAGTATTCAAAACTTTTTCATTTCATTTGCAAATTATTTTTCAGTCTTATGTTCTCATGTCCCATGATTCCTGAACTTGCATAATGATGCTGAGAAATAATAATGCTTGTTGTTGTTTGTTGTTATGTGCTGTCGATTTGGACCCAACTCACAGCGACCCCTCCTTGGGTTGTTGAGGCAGTATCACTACATAAGTAGGATTGCCCAACCTTCCTTCTGAGGAGTGGCTGGTGAGTTTGAACTGCCAGCCTTCTGGTTAGCAATCAAGTGTTTTAGGCACTACGCTACCAGAGCTCCTTAGTAATCTGAATGTGTGGCTTCTTGCCAAATCATTTCAAAAGCAAAATGATAATCTACTTTCTCAGGAAGAAGTTGTAGGTTGCATAGGATATGATCATATTTTATTAAGTTTGAAAGGGTATGGAATAAGACCATAAATAACAACAAGTGAAATTCATGAAGGGCTTAAAACTGAGCTGGCAACAAAACCACTCCAGGAGTGGACACTACCAAAGAGGTAAATGTCATTTCTTCTCAGTTATTTGTGCTGATGTCTTCCTTTGTTACTTCAGATAATCACTAAGTAGAATACTCTCTCAAAGAGCAATATTTCCTAGGACCATATATGTTCACTAATCATAATTGCAGTAATTAAAAAAAGGAAAATCTGCATGAAATATTTAAAATATGAGGCTCAGCTTATATTTAAATAAGTCAATAAGGAAATAATAACTTTTTTTTAATTCCCTCTCCTTTTTTTTTTTTTTTTAAAGTATAGTTACAGCTTCTGGTTTTAGTATAAAACCTATTATGAATAAACCCCCCCCAAAACCAAGCCTATTACCATTGAGTCAATTCCAGCTCATAGTGACCCTATAGGACAAAGTAGAAGTGCCCCATAGGGTTTCCAAGGCTGTACATCTTTATGGAAGCAGATGGCCTTATATTTTTCCTGCAGTGAGGCTAGTGGGTTCCAACTGCCA